TAGCTGACCCGGCAGACTTCGTACAGCCTCAATCGATAAATAAAAGACCTAAACTTTTGTATAATATAAAAAAAAAATAATTTGTGACAAATAATCTGAAAGACAGTTAACAACTTTCATAATTATTCACTTCTAAACCTTCTCTGGACTTCCACAAGTAATTCAAGACCAAAATTAGCCAAATCGGTCCATCGGTTCACGAGTTTTAGCGAGACTAACGAACAGCAATTCATTTATATATAAATAGAAGATAGATAATGACAATAAATGGTTAGGAAAAGGAGAGGGAGGGACGGTGGTAGGTAAAATTAAAATAAGAGTGTTAAAAAGTACAATCAAGATGTTGCAAAATGGCGTTAAGGATGACAAGAAATTAAGTTCACAGCAAAAGAGTGTGTATATACTTCTTCAAGGATGTATTAAGGATGGAAGATAATAGGTGATAAGATTTGTCTAGTATAAAAAAAGGAGCAATCTCGAACAATAATAATTAATGAAATAAAAGCACTTGGTTTTGTTTCACTATTTTTATTTAATATTTAATCCTCTAACATAGAGTGCTTTTATTTCATGAATTATTTTGAATAATGTTTCACCAAAAGCTAAGCCAAGTTACAATTAATATCATCAAACAATAAGTTGGCAAAATGGGTTCACAACGTGAGGGAAGTATTATAGGGGATATAAACTATGAAGATTATCAAATGATATGGGAGATAAAGGGAGAGACAGAAATTGTTAGCAAAATAGAGAAGGGTTAAATAAATGTGGGATGGATAGAGAGTTAGATAAGGATTGGGAAGCGATAGTTAATTCTACGTATAAAAGGGATTTAATTCTGGAAATAAAGGAGCTACAGTATTAAATAGGGGTACCAATACTAATGAATATAAGTTTTGGTCCAAAATAAGGTGCACCAATATAGGAAAAGTTTTTTTAAAAAGCAGGACAGGAGACATTATGTCGCAAAGTTGCAATAGGGATACAAAAAGATGAGATAAAAAGGTGCATGAATGAATGGAAGGATAAAAGGGCAGAGGAAGATATGAGAGAGTTAATTACTGAAAAATTAAGGCGAAATGTATGAGAAAGTATGTATTTTTTAAAGGGATAGAGACGATGATAAGAGAGAAAGTAGGTTTAAATTTAAAAGTTGGAGAATAAATGAAACAGAGGAGGGAGAAATAGAAATGTTAATTGGAATTCGTAGTTTTAAGAGATTTTTTTTAAAGTATGTAAGGTAAAATAAATGTAAAAAGTGCAATTTGCAAAACCCTGTAACGCATGCTTTAATTACAAAACTGAAAACACCTAAATTTTTCATAGTATACCTGCTAATATGGACAAGAAGTTTACCAAATTTTAGTTTTGCAATAGCAAAAAAATAACAATAAAGTATCAGCAATCACATGATTCTGCTTTTAGACAGAGGCTATAACTGATATAAAGATGAAAAATTTGCGAGTTAATTTTTGTTTAAATTACTAATAAAAATAACATATTTGCATTGAAATTGCACTAAACGTATGGACGATATTTTTTAAAACGTTAGTTTAAAAGTTTTACCAATGAAACTTAAATATTTTCAAAATAATGAATAGGCATATATGAGTCATAGTTTTAGTGCATCAAAAGAACTTAAGGTAAATCGCATAACAATACATACAATATACAAAATAATTTTTTTTTTTCCAATTAATCAAATAAGTGAACGAAGGGAAGAAAGTTATTTTAATTTTTTTTTGTAAATAAAGGTATAATTCTAGGAATCTAATGTAGACAGTAAAGTATTTCCTAAAAATATAATAAATGACAATCATAATTTTGCAAATAATCAATAGATATAATATTAAGATGCATGAACATTTTTATTTTTAATTATTTACAAATAGAAGCTTTCACTTAATTAAAAGTTCTCTAAAATGGTTTAAGTTGAATATCTTAATTGAATCAATAGTGATGCATATACAAAAAAGATAATAAAAGCTGAAATTTTGTGAAATATACCAAATTAAAAAATTAATTTGAATAGGTGGGAATTTTTTTTTATGAAGTTATTAATTAATAAAAAATGCACCTACATATTCCAGTTAAATAAATTACGAATATACTAGCATGTATGTATTTCACATATTAAATGGTTTATAATGTAACGTAAATAATATCAATTTTGAAAAGACTTATCTTTTCGTAATTTTGTTGGACAGTGAAGCAACGGAATTCCATACAACAATAAACACAATCCTTAACGTATCTCCTATACACGCTCGACACACACTGCCTGTTGTGTGTTGTTGCATGTTTTGGTACCTTTAGTTCGTCCAATTTCGTTCTTCTTCGATTCAAACGAAATTAACATCACTATTACACCTTTTGATTGGTTATATTTCAATTTTTCATAAGATAATTTTGTTTTAGTTAGTTATTCTAAGTTATGCAACCCATTTTACAAATGTTTATAGGTGGAAAGAAACAACAAAATTAATTTAAAATTAAGAAACGAAGTTGAGGAAGTCGTAATTCTAGTAAATAATAATAAGTAAACGCATTAATATTGTAATATTAAAACATAAATTTGGGAAAATATGCGAGTTGTAACAACTTTAATATCCAAATAAAGGCAGTGTATCGCCATCTTGTGGTTGCTTCCTACCACTACACCATTTAATTTTCACTATCTGTAATACCTTAAGTTTAAAAAAGAGGGTAGATAACACCCTTAAAACACTACATATTTTGTCTACCGTCTTCCAGAAACAAAATTATCGAAATTTGGTATATGAATTTTGAATTAAGTGTTTGTTATGACACCCGTAATTTTTACCATCAGAAATAGAAAAGTTTTAGGTTCAATAGGGAGGGTTGAGGGCCCTCATACAGATATTAGACTTTACACATTTTGTGTGCGTCCCCTTTAAACAAAATTATCAAAATCTGACAAATAAATTTTAAATACTAAACTAGTTATAACACCTGTAATTTTTACTATCAAATATTGTGAAGTTTTAGATTCAAAGGAGAGGGTTGACGGCATCGTCACAAATATTTGACTTTACAAATTTTGTCTGCATCCTATTTAAACAAAATTACCAAAATCTGACAAATAAATTTTAAATACTAAGCTAGTTATAATACCTGTAATTTTTACTATCAAATATTGTAGTTTTAGATTCAAAGGAGAGGGTTGGCGGCACCCTCACAGATATTTGACTTTACACATTTTGTCTGCGTCTTTAGTTGACAAATTGTATTTGTGCTTTTAAATTAATAGACAATTTTAACAAAATATACAGTGTGTAACACACAAACAATTAAAAACATATCATTACCTTTAAATTTTCCTCCAACTAAACCATCTCTGAAAGTCGTAAGGGTGGCGCAGGACTTGCAGAAGCGATCGCTCAAGAGTCTGCACACACAACTCGTTTGTTCAACTTGGGATGGTAACAAGATAGGTATCACTGCAAAAAACTACAGTAAAATTGTTGTATTTAACAAAGAAAATAAAAGAAATAATTAAACTACCTGTAATAATTCATGCTTGTAATTTCAAAAACGGAAACAATCTTTATTAAATAGCTTTAAAGATGATAGCAGAAATGTGTTCCCTTCTATTTCTGCAACAATTACAAACATTTACTTATTTACCCTGAGTGATAAATGTAGATTTCATTAATTCAGGATGCACAGTATAAAAGAAACTTAGTATGCAGTTGATAAACTCTGCTTACTTACTTGATACTTAATCATATATCCAAACCTTTAAAGAAATGCTTATCATATCTATAAGATACAAATACTCTATTCAAAAGCTATCGTGCATCATTAGTTATGTATTTATTAAGTAAATAAAAAATTCGAGATGTAAGTGAAAACATTTTACTAATCGTAAGTAAGTAAGTAGTGACAAAGAGAGTGTATTATCCAATAGTTCTTAACGTCTGCTTTAACTTTAAACAAATAATGGTGTAAGAAGTTTAAAAACAAGTTACATTGGAGTAGACGGAACATACCGAGTCAAAATTTTTGAAGGTAAATAGCCTAATAATAAGCTAATTATTTTTTTTAATATGTATAATGCACAATATTAATTAATTAAAAATTAGCAGGTTTAAGTATTAATTTTCAGTTATCATTTTTACTTGTAAAAACAATTATAAATCGTTGAAAGTAAAAAACATTGATTAATTCCTTAAAGAAAAGTAATAATAAAGTATTACTACATACTGCCATCAATTAAAAAATTCAATTTTGATTTGTATCTTTTTATAAAGTACATCTACACTAGTGATAACGCTCAAAGTAAGTTGCAATTTAACTCACCAATTTACTATTTAATACATAACAATAAACTAAACAAAATTTATGCATACAAAGAGAAAAGTTCAAGCAAGTATGAAAAAATACATGGTCCTACCTATTAAAATCGTTACACAAATACTACAACAACTATTTCCGGTTGTATGTTTAATTAAAAAACAGAAACGCAAAGCTTTGTAATAGTAATTATATGTAAAGGTATTGCAAGAAAACTCACCAATTTTTAAATTTCCATGCAAGGAAAATATTTCCTATAAACGAATTTTATATTTTGGAATATATTTTCTCCTTCCAAATAAATAGTCTCATAACGACTCCCAATTTTTACATTACAAAAAATTCAAACCAAACCATAGAACCATAGATAAGATTACTATTGCTAGAATTAGGTCAAATGGTTCATAGCACAGCAGACATAGTTCATTTGAATCAAACGTCAAAAAAACGGGAATAGGTTAGGAAACCTATAAGCAAAACCGATTAAAACGTATTTTTCTTATAAAAAATAACAAAGAACATATTACGCCAATGTAATTTATTGATTAAGGTGCGCTAATAAAACAGTTGTCGTGTTTATTGTGCAATAAATTTCATTCCGGATTCTGAAATTCAAAAAATCACGTACAAAATGACTTCTATGTTCGATCAATTTGAACAAGCATCTCAAAAACTAGATTCTAACAACGATTTAACAGATATAGTATGTAATTATTCTCCTAATTGAATTAAATATATCACATATTGCATTTTTGATATTTTTATTTAGTCATCTGGTTATATTAATATGAAAATGGAGAAGGAACTTCCTATTTTTACGAAGAGTAAGATGTGCTTTAATCCATCAGCGAAAATAACACATGTCGCTATAAGTAATAAAAACCTGGCAGTTGCTATGGCAAATGGTATGCTCTTTCGAATGAACATTCACCAACCAGAGCAACAAAATGGTAAAATTGCTAAGACTATTATTAAGAAGGAGAAATAAAGATAGTTTTGTTACAGAAATTTCATTACATAAATATACTGCTTTGTGCCCATTGACAAATTTGTTTCTTGATCCCAGTGGTAATCATTTGCTAATTAGTTTTGGCTCAAAATCACCGGAGTTACTTTATTTATCAAGGAAATCAGTAAAATTAAAGGTCTCTACAAAATTCAAAGGGCATGAGATTACAGAAGTTGCATGGAATAATCTTAATGAAAGTGAATCAACAACTGGTCCCATTTTATTAGGTAGGCAACATAAATAAAACCTCTATAAATAATTTCCTATTTTTGTTAACTTAAACATTCATTCATTTCTTTATGTAGGTACATCAAAAGGACTAATTTTTGAGACAGAAATTGCCTTGGATGGAGACAAGTTTCTCACAAGTGGATTTTCTTCAAGTATTGAACAGTATTGGAGGCAGGTATGACTTTTGCATCTATCATATTAAATTTATTTTCAAAGGAAAACTTGACCATTATTAAAACCTATATTATGTCCATTGGGAAATAAATTTTTTAGATTCCAAATTATTTACCCATTTATGGAAATAAAGAAGTAGATGGTTTGGTAAGTGAGGTGTAAACATTACAAATGCATGTGAATGAAGATATTTGGTTCCTTTTACTATTTGCAATATAAATTTATTATGTTTAATTATTAATAGGTATATGACAGTATTTGCTGTAATGCTTTCTTTTTTATCTTAATAGGTGTTTGATATTGGCAAAGGCACAGATACTCCAATAACTGGTTTACATTTCGATCGAATAACAGGGACCGATAAATATTTTATTTTTGTTGCTACTCCAAACAAGTTGTACTTCTTCGCAAGAAACATTAATTGTGAAGAAAAGCCACTTTTGCAACAAGTGTTTAACAAATATTTAAACATTCCAGAAAAAGATACCTTTTACAAAGTTGAAAGCAAACTGAGATATTCTAGACTACGATTCTGGTCTGAAAATCTTACTGTTCCAGACTCACTAGCCTGGATGACAGAAGGCGAAATTTTGTATAGCAAAGTACGTTTAAAAATGTACCAAAGATAATTTATTTATTAATAAAAATACAACTTTCAGTTTGACCTTCCTACTCAAGAAAATATTAATTCAATTTTGGCCAATGCAGAAACAATTCTATTTCCTAAACCGTTATATCAAGATTATTCAGTGTCCCAAAAGCCTCCGATTGCTTGTGTTTTAACAGAGTTTCATGTACTTCTTGCATACACTGATGCTATAAAAGGAATTTCGTTACTTAACAGAGACGTTGTATATGAAGACAATTATAACGAAGCTTTTGGAAAGCTGATCAATATCATAAAGGACCCTATGACAGGTTTATTATTATTATTTTTTATTAGAGAGGGTAAGTAAAAATTGTTTGTTTTTTATTTAGGGACCATTTGGGCAGTTACTGAAAACGCCGTTTTCCGTTTCAAAATAACTAAAGAAGAACGTAACATTTGGCAAATTTATTGTGAAAAACAGCAGTTTGATCTGGCAAAGAAATATTCACGTCAAAATCCGGTACACTACGACCAAGTTCTTAAAAAGGAAGCCGACATGCTTTTCGAGAAAAAAGTCTACGAGGCAAGCGCTCAGAGGTACGCAGAAACGCAAACCAGTTTCGAAGAAGTCTGCCTTAAGTTCATCCAAGTCGATCAAAAAAACGCACTCAAAATTTTCCTAAAGAAAAAGATGGAAAGATTAAGTCCTCAGGATAAAACCCAGATCACGTTGATCGTTATTTGGGTTGTGGAGTTATACTTGGATCAATTGGAAGAAATGAGGATCACGGGCAAAGAACAGACTGCAACGTATTTTGACCTGCAGAAGGAGTTTCAGGCGTTTCTCGCTCTTCCTCAAGTGTCAGATTGCATTAAAAATAACAAGTCAACGATATACGATCTCATGGCTAGTCATGGAGACAAAACTAATCTCATACAACTTACTATTGTTAATAAAGATTTTGAGAAGGTAAGAATATCTTAGTTTGTGTACATTTTATTTACTTACTGAAATAACTTCTAGAATGAAAGGACACTAAGTGAATTGATAAATTATCTATTTATTAAATTAATATTTAGTTTTTAATAGATATAAAATATCTTTATTTAGTTAATTCGACAACATATCTACAAAAACAATTTCCATGAAGCACTGGACGTGCTAAAAAGCCAAAATAACAGAGAATTGTTTTATCAATTCGCTCCTATTTTGATGCAAGAAATCCCGAAATTTACCGTGAAAGCTTTGATCGACAAAGGTGCTCATTTAAGTCCCGTAAAGCTGTTACCAGCCCTCGTAAGCTGCGATAGCGAGGAGCACTCTCGAGAGATTGTAAAATATCTCGAGTTTTGCGTAGGCAAATTGAAATGTTCAGAAAAGGCCATTCACAATCTTTTGCTCACCCTATTTGCTAAATATGATCCACAAAAACTTATGGAATATTTGAATTCACAAGGACAAGATATCGGCATGGTATTTTAATATTTCTATGTGAAACCTATAAAAAAAACTGCATAATATTTATTTTATTTGTAGGTAAACTATGATGTACATTTTGCTTTAAGATTATGTACAGAAAAGAAATTAACCGCTGCCTGTGTACAATTGTCTGGATTATTAGGACTTTGGGAAACTGCTGTAGATCAAGCTTTAACTATAAATGTTGAATTAGCGAAGCAAATTGCTAATATGCCTTCTCAAGAAGATGAAGAACTTCGAAAGAAATTGTGGCTCAAGATAGGTAAGTAAATTATGATCGGAAAAATTTTTTGTGACTTGCTAATAACAGTTTTATGGGATATAGAATTTTAAAAGTATTGTTTGGTAAAATTGTCAAAATTATATATTATTATAATTGTTATTGTTCTGTGTTCAACATAAACAAATAAACATCCTTTTTTCTCTACTTTCAATAGCACAACATGTAGTAAGTGGCAAAGATAATATTGAACAAGCCATGGAATTTATTCAACAGTGTGAATTATTGAAAATTGAAGACATCCTCCCGTTTTTCTCTGATTTTGTCACAATCGATCATTTCAGGGATGCCATATGTAAATCCCTAAAGGTACAATAAACTATTGAGAATATTTTATGATTTTGTGTATTTTATCCTGTTTTAGGATTACAATCAGCAAATACAAGCCTTAAAAGATGAAATGAGAGAAGCAACACAGTCATCTGAATTGGTTCGAAAGGAAATACAATCATTTAGAAATAGCTTTACTTATGTGAGCAGTTCAGATGTTTGCGAAGTCTGCAACTTGACTCTTATGATCAGGCCCTTTTATTTGTTCCCATGCAGACATAAGTTTCATAACGATTGTCTTCTCAAAGAGCTGAATCCTATGCTAGGTAACTATTATTTTTATGTTTGTGGTACATCAGTTAACGGTTTCCCTTCATTTTATTCAAGGGCCCATTAAGAAAAATAAATTAGCAGATCTTCACAGGCAATTGAACGCTGTTGGCACATTATCAGCACAATCTGATAACATTAGCACATGCTCAGGCCTGTCTACAAGGGAGGCAATCAAAGCAGATATCGACAGTATTGTAGCTTCCGAATGCTTATACTGTGGCGAAAATATGATAAGAAACATCGATATGCCTTTTATTGATGAAAGTGATTATGAAAAAATTATGAAAGACTGGGAATAGCTTGTTAAGATTTATTGAACCGTAGGTAATATTATACTTTAAAACCCAAAAAGAGCTTTATGAATTGTATAGCATCATTTTCTAAGTTAAATGAATTATGATTTTTTTTAAATGCGTACGTTCAATTATTAACAACAACTAATTATAATTATAATGAGCATAAACCATCGGTATAAACTAATTTTTGTTTTATTTAGTAAATGTCTGTAGACCAACAGAACTATGTATTCTTTCAATATGCTGAGTAATTTGCAAATTTATATAAATATAAAAGAATATGCATAAAATTACCTTTTATCTTTGAAGCTTATTTTCAGGTGAAGAATATTGAAATATGGACGACTATCCAATTTTAATTCCTTTAATATTTTCTACATATTTCCAGAATTGTCTTGTCACTTTGATGTTCAGCAGCTTGTAATGCAGTCACTATAGCTAAGATATCCTTTGTACTACGTGCATTTATCCAGACTCTACCATTCATCCCTACTGCAATTTCATACACATATTTCTTTCCTAAAGTTCTTAATAATGGATTCTCAATGTTTAACAGACGATTCACTAAATTTAAGCTGACCGTAGTTAAGAATCCGTCGACTGATAAGGGTCCCAATTTCCCAGCTTTATAATATGAATCTACACAAACTAATTCTGGTTCCATTTCTCGATGAGCACTTAGTAATCTTGCATAAACACAATCTCCTACCTGAAGATCAGGTCTCTGTTTTTTTGTAGCTCCTTCAAAGGCTAGTGTCGACAAAGACGCCAATTCACTGCTGCATATGTCTACTTTTAAGACATCTCCTGCTTTCTTAGACACCACACCAACAACCAAATCGCCCTTTTTGGGAACGTATCTTTTTTGCAAACTTTCAACCCAATAAACATTCGGTGTTTTAAAACTTAATATTCCAGCTCGGGTTATTTGTAACTTGTTGGGTTTATCACTTCTATGTAATCCTGGGCCGAATAACGTGACACCTCTAAGACTTTCTACGTTATTTATTGTATCACCCGGATAAACTACGTCCCCGATGTTTATTACCATCTTTACCTCTTGATTTAGTAATTGTAAACAATTTTTAGAAGCAAAATTGAAGAAAGTACAGCGTAATTGTCTGAATAATTCAAAACTTGAGTTAATAACAGCACGTAAAATTGATCAAATAACCTATAATCATAGATAATATAATATAACCTATAATTCATAGACTAGAGCTATAATTAATAACCATAGAGATCTAAACCTGTAGACCTAAACATAGAGATAAATTTAGTGTCTCAGCATCCAATCTAACTATGTACAATGACTTTATTCAGATTTTTATTATTTATTCAAGCAGCATTGATTAAAAACGAAGAACATAATAATGAACAGAAAATTTCCCACTTTCGAGTCAATGTTACAAGGTAATTATTGTCTAATAAAAATTTTTCAAAATTGATAGTTTTCTCTTCCGATACTGAGCTCCTAGACACCCTAAATTCAAATAATTTGCAATTATGTTAATCAGATGTGATGTGGATGATTCATGAGTTCATATAAAAAAATATGTTATTATATTTGTAAATAAATATACTAGGAAAACGCGACTTTGGCGATATCTGATTAACTATGGGTATAATTTTTGGAAAAAAGAAAAAACCTGCGGGGATAACTGAACAAGATCGAGCAATTTTAGTAAGAATCTTGGAGGTTATGTTTTCAAAAGTTCAAAAACAAACTTAAAAATATTTTCAGCAATTAAAAGATCAACGTGATAAAATAAAACAGTATCAGAGGCGAATTGAGGCAACTTTAAATAACCACAGGGAATTAGCTAAACAACTTCTTCAAGAAAATAGAAAAGAGTATGTATCAATTGTAAACATACAAAAGTGACAATGATTTATCACTTGAATTTTTTTAGGCGTGCCAAATTATTGCTTCGAAAGAAAAGATATCAAGAACAATTGTTAGTAAAGACTGATCAGCAACTTGAAACACTTGAAAGGTTGACACATGATTTGGAATTTGCTCAAGTAGAAATTCGAGTTGTTGAAGGCCTTAAATTAGGAAATGAGGCCTTGAAAAAAGTCAACGATATTCTTAAGATTGAAGATATTGAGAGGATCCTTGATGAAACCAGAGAAGGAGCAGAAAAACAACAAGTAAGTTTACTAAATTTTATAAGAGTAATATCTTATGTAACGTATTAATCTTGTAGGAAATAAATGCTCTTCTCAGTGGCAATCTAACAGAAGAAGACGAAGAAGCTGTAGAAGATGAATTAAATAAGATTCTTGAGGAGCAACTTCCAAATATTCCTGCAGAAGAAATTCCAGCTGCTGGTACAAATGATAAACTGCCAGATGTACCAACACATGCCATTAAAGGTAATCATGATAGCAATATTGTCATTAAAACGTTTATCATTTATATGTGTGCTTTTTTGTTTTTGTACAGAAATTACCAAAGAGAAACAACCCAGGGAAGCGGTAGCTTTGGAAGCCTAAGTTATGTAAACATAATGTATAATAAATTTGTTTTTTGTTATTGTTTTTAAGTAAAACTTGTAAGTAATAAGCTGATTACATTTTCTATTTTTTAACGAAAATAGACGACCCTTTAACAATCTAACTGTGTTTGTTCAACTGTGAAATAAATACAGAGGTTTAATACTGCTCCATTTTCCTTTTGCAATAAGAAATCCCTTACTAATAATAATAGCTGTTGCTTTCATCATTATTAACTAAATAAATTCAAATATGGAAAAAGAACCTAAATAAATTAATAACGTTTAAATTATAAGTACCTAAACATGTCAATAAATAAAAGTGCCAAAAAGCCACTTCTAGGTAAAGTATACACACCGTTTCATCCATACACTTTAAAAGTATGTATAAAATTATGAAGCTGAAATCGATTGCCTACATACAAACGAATATATAAAGTATTACTGCATCGTTTTACATTAATAAAATGCATAAACAAAAGATAATTTAGAATTTTGAAACGGTGTTCCTTATGAAAATTAGTGATGTACTTTTTGGGTGTTAACTACTTGCCAAAGTATTTAAAAATTAAAGCTATGCATTCTTTTTTATTAAAAGCAGTACTTATAACAAGTGAGAATTTATATTATTATAAAATTTTAATTGGTGTAAATATATTAGTAATATACTAAAACTTACTTAAATTGCAAAAAATTTTATAAACTGAAACAAAGAATAATGAATACCTTTAATTGTCTTTTTCATTTTGTTGATCATCTTCTTCTATCAAACCAAGTTCAATTTCTTCTTCTCTTGTTAAGATGTTATCACTATTGTTCTTTGAATTTTTCAGTTCAAACTCCTTGGAAAAATCTTCAATGTCTAGATCATCATCTGATTCTGCATTGTACTTTCCATCTCGTATTGAACTCTTGTTGGATTTTCCCTTGGTGTTTTGTTCAGTAGGTGGTAATGTAATGTCACCTTCATAATTAATTATTTCATTCTGAGCAAGTCTCCATTCCAATACATCTGTTGTGAAGTCATCACGGTTGCCCAAGGATGTGAAACCCACAATTTTGTCAATCAGTATAGTGTCTTTAATGCATACAATTGTTGGAATCACCTTTATTTTTAATCTCTCTGCCAAAAACGGACATTTTTCGGCGTTTAACGAAACAAAACGTGTCTCTACATGTTTTGCCGCAAGAATTTTTAGATGCTTGTCAACAATTTTACAACGAAAATTTGTATTGGTGTAAAAGTGAATAATGACTCTTTCAGACTTTTTTATGGTATCAAAAAAAGTTTTTTCTTCAGGCAATTCTTCATATTGACCATGCCCATTTTGTCGCCATACTCTTTGTTTCTCTTCTAAAGCCTTTAATTCTTGCATTCGTTTTTTTCGTAAAGATTCGATGTCATTGACGTCTAAGTTTTCTAGTTTTTCAAGAGCAGCATCGACTTGTTTTTCAATAGTTTTCGTTACTTGTAAAACTTTGTTCTCAAGTATTTGTGAATCCATTTTAGTTCCTTTGTAACTGTAAAATAAACTTATTGATAATATTCACATAATATTTAAACAAATGCTTAACATTTTAAAAATAACCTACCCTTTTACTTAAGTGAAACACAAATAAAATCACATTAATTTAACAAATCTTCAAATTTTACACACATGTGTACAAAGTTTTTTATTTTTGACGTTACAGATACGTCAGGGTGAGCAGCAGCAGCAGCGAGCAGAGAATTAAAAGACCCTTTACAAAATTCACTTCCACCACAACATAAAAACAAAAGAAACTAAAGCATAGATATACACATAACCTTCAAATTTGAATCGGTTTGAATGGTTTCAAAAGAGTAAATATTTTAAACGTTTTACATATTTTTCTGAGAAAAATTAAAGAATTCAAAAAGATGCAAACTGAATTTCAAAAACTGTGCCGCACTTGTTTATATACCTCAAAAAATCTAACGGAATTTATAAGTATTAACACTATGGATCCTCTCAAAAAAATTTCTACAAGATCAAAAATAGAAATGTGTATACCAGAAATTGTAATAAAAGGTCATATGTATCTTTAAAGTATTTCACCTTATTTGTTTTAGGATGTGGAGGATCCAGATAGTACATTCCTTTGTATTGCATGTTGGAATGCTCTAAATGCTTCTTACAATTTTAAATGTGTTTGTCTAGCTACAGAAGACAAATTAAGAAAAAGTATTTGTCAGCTTGGGGAGGACGATAAGTATCGTAACAAGAACATTTTATATACAGAAGTTGATTTGCTGCTGGATGACATTTTCACAACTGACAAAACAAGAATTGATTTATATCAGCAAGCTAAATTTTTTCTAGAGACTCAAAAAATAATTAAACAATATTGTTATTCTCAAAAGAACAGGATATGCAACAGTGCATTAGAAAAACATAAACCAAAAACAAGTAAATTATCCAACCTTATGATGAATAAGACAAAATTGAGATGCAAAAAATGTTCAAAAGAATTTCTTGACCCAAAAAGATATAAGTTACATATGTACAAATGTGGACAATATCTTGCAAGCTGTAAAAAATGTTTAAAGGGATTCTATTTTAAACAACCATACTTAAACCACATTCGCAAATGTAAAGCAGCAACAATAGTAGTTACACAAAAAAGTAAAAACACCAAGAAAAATGTAGCAACAACTTTAAAACAATCATATAGAAACAACAACTTATTAAATAATAAATCATCGGTAAAAACACAGAAAAGAAAACCTAAAATATTTCAGTGCTTTGATTGTCCTAAAATGTTTCGTGATAATTGGCATTTAGCTAGACATGTTAAGGTGCATTTAAAGCATAAGAAAAAAGTGCGTAATACTAGTACTCCTCATTCTTCAGAAGTTCGTCACGTTCAGGACAGTTCACATAAAATAACTAACCCCCATTGGTGTGAAAATAAAGATAACGGAAGGATTAATAATGAAACCATGGAAGCNCTCCTAGCCGGTGGTAGAAAGGCCAACGATGATACCAATCCAGTCTGATTAAACGAAGGAGGGGCCAGAAGATTATCAGGGGGCGAATCTTCTCCACTTTCGAAACGGTTTGTTAAGTTGAGCACATTGACACCTTGACTCGGAGTAACAAAACAATAGTCCTTTTCTTTACCTGTGATAATTAGAAATAATAAACAGAAGTATTTTTTAAAAGAGATGAGATAATAATAAAATGAGGAAAACTTGCCTTCGATTTGGGGGATGTCTTCCAAGTATAAGAGCCACTTTCCCTGCACCTTGTCGTTGGCAACTTGCCATGGCCATTGGATATCAACTTCCAAGTCAGTGACGCGCCAGGGACCATCGTTCACGACTTGGTAAGTGTGCCAGACTCGTGAACCGATGTCGTCGAAGTATTTCATTGCAGACTCACCCTTCACTTCACCTCCGTACATAACATACGAAGTTGCAGCACTGTAACATAAAAACAAGTCTGAAATTTTTCGTTCTATTAAGTCCCTTTAGAATTCGAAAAAGCAATTAAAAATTGTAATAAATTTTTAAATTGACTATTAATTTCTCTTGTATATTGCTAGAAATTATCCTATACAAACAAGCAGTTTTACTCTAAAGATGCATTTAAAGTTTGATGTTAAAAGTGAAAAGTATCCTAGTACGACTAGGTAGTTTTGCGATTATTTTCAAAGAAGGCTTGCCAACTAACACCCTTGGTATGAACAGAAATAAAAACGAAAATACCACAAATAATATTTTAATGTTAAATGGTTAACGTTTTTTAACGCAAAGTGTATATTTAAAACAAAGAAAAAACACAATTAATTAAGTATTTTAGGGAAACTCACGAGGAAACAAAATAAAACAAAACACAGCTAAGTAATTAGGAATTCAAAATAATTTATTTTAAACGAAATAACAAATATTTACCAATACTAACAATAAGTACGAAAATTATGGGCTGTATGTACAATTAATTTACAAGGATTAATTAATTTATGGAGGCACCACTTTGGAGCTGCTTTATATTTTTGTTAATTCGTACACATACAGAACTATAAAAATGCCATTCGATAATAAATAGCTATATACACAGGGCAGTGAAGTTATTAAAAAAAAAACACTTATCATTAAATTTAATGTACAATAGCACCCATAAAAAATGTCCGTACACGCATCACAACATGTAAAAAACAGCCAATAGGGTGGTGATCGCAACATTCGACTGTTTGCTAGTAAACAGCCAATCGCAATAATAATAAAAAAAAATAATTTAGAAACCTCTAGGAATTTGTTTTTACAAGCTTAGCTGTATGATTTCGTTTCTTTCTTTTAAGAGTAAATGCAGAATACGCTTACGTATGTTTTAACAAAAAATCAATAAATTATTTTAAACTACGACTAGCATTACTCGATGCATATTAATATTCAGTCCGCTTATACGATTAGCTAGCTAAACAATAAAATATAATAATAAGGTTGAAAACTTCAGTTGAACATTGGCATTGGACCCACACTAAGGGATATTATAAAAACTCAAAGTTTTAAGTACTTTACTCATTAATTACAATAGTACTAGATCGTCTCAATTCGTTGGCTAAAGTCATAAACGTCGGATTTTCCTGTTGTTGCAATACAACCAACTGTTCTAAGGATTTAAAGAAGTGATTTCTTTACTTACCTTTCTCTTTAACTTCACTTTATTTCACCACTTAGGGGAGTCCCGCTCTTTTAAAATTTGTAGGTATGTACAGTTTGATCTTTTTGTATCACTCAAGTCCTTTAAATGTCCTCGTAGCCTTGTGTTGGTGGGTTAAAGTCGCAAAAAATGCGACAAAACTCCTTTTGTTACTTATTTAACAACGTTTCTTGTTCGTTTTGCTTCGTCAGGTTTCCGGATAATGTTGGATCGCTGATACGTTTCCTCTTAAAGAACCCAATCTTCCACAGTACGAATATAACAATTAAAAGCAGCAGAAGTCCCGTCACTACTGCAGCGATTATCACCCAAAGTGGCACACCCGTGTCCGATTGAATTAACAGATCCGGATACGCCAAAGTCTCGGCCTAAAATGACATCATTGAAAACTACTTTTATCAATTAAATATTGCACATCTAAAATTGATAAGAGATACAATAGACACTCGATACTGTAAACCAAAAAAGCAAACACACGAATAAAACATCAGGGATTTACAGTAATGACGAAATATCCATTTTTAAGGCCAACAGACATTTGTTTCTATAAGCGAAGGTATACAATCACCTAGTATAATATGCTGTGTATATTATGCGGCGTTTTCATTGTATGATGTTTACATTATCCCGTGTCTATAAATTATTATTTTTTTTTGAAGTTGCGGCTACCCTTAAGCAAAGTTCGAGCATTCTATATTTAATATAAATATTTGGCAAATATTAAACAGGGCACAGTAGTATTACGTAATAAGTATCAGCAATTTCTTATGCTGAAGTGTACGATGTGTTGCATACCTATTTACAAACGATTCGTTTAAATTTAAATCATTGATTATTATACATCTA